GCTAGTTAGCATAGACTCATTAGGTCAAACCGCTATAACATTATGCAAATAAAAAGCAAACAAATAACTCAGAGACAGTTTTATTAAACTTTGATAACGGTCCTGACATGATCCTGACAAAGCATTCAGTGTAAACAACGTACAGCCTCTGACACGCAGGTCCGGGATGTACATGGCTAGCCTTGCGGCAACATAGGCTGATGACCTTTATTAGGAGAGAATATTAAAACACTTTACGAACTAAACACGTCCTGGTGTAAGCCTATAGGGTGTCCACAACAGTGTACATGCCACGTTAAAGACTACAATAGCCCAGGTTAGGGTTAGAAAAAAAGATATACAGTCTATGGATTAAATCATATGCATTCCATTCTTCCCAAGCTGCCGTGGGCTGTATTACCCTTTCACTGGCCCCGCCCACCCAAGCTGCAGTGGGCTGTTTACCTTTCACTGGCCCCGCCCCCAACGCATTGTATCCCGGGTGCCACTGTGCCAGACTTGTTGATACGGCTCCCCTTGCTGCTGAAGTCACGAGCCGCACACCGATGCCCGACACAATTTCCAGGGTTATTGTGCACGTTGGAATAAACGACGTGAAGATGCAGCATTCTGAAGTGACAAAGAAGCACTTTACGGATCTTTTCCAACTTCTACGCCTATCTGGTCTATCGGTCTTCATCTCTGGTCCAATCCCGACAGTGAACAGGGGCGACTGCTTCTACAGCCGCGTTCTGGCGGCGAACCAATGGCTGCAGTCTGTGTGTAGCTCTTTCGGCGCGGTCTTTGTTGACAATTTTGGCCTTTTTTGGAGACGCCACATTGCTTATCGCCCTGATGGTCTGCACCCAAACAAGTTTGGCACACGTTTGTTGGTGGATTATCTGTGGTACAGTGGACTGTGAGGTCATGCGTGTGACTGGCTGCGTCACCGCCTCCACCGCTGCCTTCCACCGCTCCACTGTCAGCACCGTGTGAGTACAGCAGCGTGAACACTGGCCCCCATCCCCTGTTTCGTGTTATTCCCGTCTCTCCTTTACACTCTTCCACTTGAACCACCCTCACGTAATCATAAGACCCAAGCAAGATCGCAAAAAAACTCAAAAGTCAGATCAAAGGAACTTAATTCATATTCCCTGTACAAATGCTTCCAGTTCTGCTGAAACCATACTGAATCTTGCTGTTTTTAATGTCAGATCCCTTGGCAACAAATCATTTTTAATTAACGATTTTATCTCCTCTCATAACCTCGATTTTATGTTTTTAACTGAAACATGGCTTGATAAAAACACTGGTAATGCTGTTCTACTAGAAACAGCCCCTCCCACCTACACATTTGAATATGAAGCACGAGAGAATAAAAAAGGTGGAGGCTCTATTTAGGGACAGCATGGTTACCCATAGACTGACATTTGGGAACTTTGACTCCTTTGAATATGTGTCGTTCAAAGTTGAGATGAATAAATCCCCATCCATACTCGTCGTCATTATCTACAAGCCTCCCCAACACGGTCAACATTTTATTGAGGATTTTACAGAATTTTTATCAGTTGTATGTATTGATTTTGAATCAATGATAATTACTGGTGATTTTAATGTTCATGTGGATATGGCTGAAAACAAAGATACAAAAGAGCTCAGCTCTGTTCTTGAAACCTTTGGCCTGGCCCAGCACGTGCGAGCCCCAACGCACAATAGAGGCCACACACTCGACCTTCTAATAACGAAGGGAGTTCACATCACAAATGTTAAAGTGGTCGATATTGCTTTGTCCGATCATTACTGTGTCTTTTTTAACCTGTCAGTCATTCCTAAACCACCCGCTCAACCTACAGTTCTGAGGCGAAGACACATAGTGGATGGAACAGACGCTCTTTTTATGGAAAGAATCAAGTTCGAAATTGCCCCATGCTCTACTGTAGATGACTTATTAAACACTGTAACTCATGCCATTTCAAATGTAATGAATGCCATCGCCCCCATAAAAACCAAGAAAACTAAAAGTGTACAAAAAGCACCCTGGAGGTATGATGACCTTGTCAGAGAAAAGAAGAGAGAGTGCCGCAGGGCAGAGCGGAAATGGCGCAAGTTTAAACTCCATGTCCATTACGAAATGTTTAAATTAAAGCAGCATGAGTACAACAGTATTTTAAGTACTACAAGAGAGCGGTATTTCACCCAGACCATTGAAAACTTGAAAAACTCCCATGCCCTTTTGCAACCGTGAACAGATTAACACACCCCCCATCACAGTTGCCTCTTGAGTTTATTTCCACATTTAAGTGCAATGAGTTTGCTGTATTTTTCAATGAAAAGGTTCAATCCATTAAAAGAGCGATAAATCCCACATCACAAATTTCTACACAAACAACTGCAGTTTCTGAGCTGTCCTTTTTTTCACCTGTCACTGAAAAATTGGTCAAAGAAATTGTTTTAAAATTGAAATCGTGCACTTGCTGCCTTGACGTGTTGCCCACTAGATTTTTAAAACTTGTTCTTAACAGTTTGTTGCCTTCACTCACTGCAATAGTGAACGCATCTCTTCAGTCAGGAACCTTCCCTGGTCCTCTGAAAACTGCAGTGATCAGGCCTCTCTTAAAGAAGAGCAGTCTTGATCCTGCAGTGCTCAGCAATTACAGACCCATTTCAAATTTGCCTTTCTTAGGGAAGGTGTTAGAAAAGGCCGTTTACCTGCAGCTAAACAATTTCCTGCTGCTGAATAATGTTTTTGACCTGTTTCAATCAGGTTTCAGGCCCCACCACAGCACAGAGACTGCCCTGATAAAAGTTTCCAACGACATCCGCGTCAACAGTGACTTAGGCAAAGCCACAGTGTTGGTCCTGTTGGATCTCAGTGCAGCCTTTGACACTGTTGATCACGAGATCCTCCTGCAGAGACTTGAGGGATGGGTTGGCATCACTGGCACTGCCTTAAGTTGGTGCAAGTCCTACTTAGAGGACAGACAGTACTTTGTTGAGATTGGGGACTGTGTTTCAGACCAGGTGGCCTTAACAAGTGGAGTGCCCCAAGGTTCAATTCTGGGCCCCCTTCTTTTTAATATTTATATGTTGCCACTAGGTCAATTGATTCGAGGCCAAAATGTATCCTATCACAATTATGCAGATGATACGCAGATTTATGTCTCACTGGCTGCGGGTGAACTTGGGCCAATTGAGTCACTCTGTCACGGCATCAAACAGATTGACTCATGGATGCAAAATAACTTTCTTCAGTTAAATTCAAACAAAACTGAAGTTATTGTGTTTGGCCCACAGAAACTCAGAGAAAGTGTGTGCAGCCTTCTCCAATCCTTTTCTCTGTCTCCAAATTACAAAAATCAGGTTAGAAATCTAGGAGTAATCATGGACTCGGACCTCAATTTCAATAGTCACATTAAATCTGTAACTTCAGTGGCTTTCTACCATCTAAAGAACATTGCTAGAATTAGGGGCATAATGTCTAAGGCAGACTTAGAGATTGTCATTCATGCCTTTGTTTCTAGTAGGTTAGACTACTGCAACGGCCTTCTCTCTGGTCTGTCCAAAGGAGCTGTAAAGCAGCTACAGTATATTCAAAATGCTGCAGCTCGAGTCCTGACAGGAACCAGGAATACGACCACATTAGTCCAGTCCTCACCACTGGCTTCCTGTGGCTCAGAAAATAGATTTTAAATCTCCTTGTATATAAGTCTCTCGTGGCTCGCACCAAAATACATATGCAACATGCGTACGTACGAGCCCGCTCGAACTCTGAGGAGTGCGGGGACTGGCCTCCTGTTGGTGCCCAGAGTCGGGACTAGACATGGGGAGGCAGCGTTCCAGACCTATGCACCTAGAATCTGGAACAGTCTTCCCGAAGGTGTGAGACAGGCTCCTTCTTTAGCTATGTTCAAGTCCAGGCTGAAAACGGTTCTTTTCAGCCGTGCCTACGACTGATCCTCAAGAAATCGGATCATACATTTATTTTTTATGTATATATTTATTCATTTTCTTAAACTGTCTTTTGTATTTGTTTTTACAGTCTGTTTTTAAATTGCTTTTAAATGTTGCCGATGTGAAGCACTTTGGGTTGCATTCTGTATGAACTGTGCTATAGAAATAAACATTGATTGATTGATTGATTGATACTCCTTCCATTTCAATATAATTGCTTGCACAGTGCTCCTTGAGATGTTTAAAGTTTGGGAAATCTTTTTGTATCCAAATCCGGCTTTAAACTTCTCCACAACAGTATCTCGGACCTGCCTGGTGTGTTCCTTTGTCTTCATGGTTCTCTCTGTGCTTTAAAGAGAACCCTGAGACTATCAAAGAGCAGGTGCATTTATACGGAGACTTAATCACACACAGGAGCATTCTATTTATCATCATCAGTCATTTAGGACAACATTGGATCATTCAAAGATCCTCACTGAACTTCTGGACTGAGTTTGCTGCACTGAAAGTAAAGGGGCCGAATAATATTGCACGCCCCACTTTTCAGTTTTTTATCTGTTAAAAAAGTTTAAATTATCCAATAAAATTCGTTCCACTTCACGATTGTGTCCCACTTGTTGTTGATTCATGACAAAAAATTAAAATGTTATATCTTTATGTTTGAAGCCTGAAATGTGGCAAAATGTTGAAAGGTTCAAGGGGGCCGAATACTTTCACTGTATATGTTACTGTATTACCATAATGCCCATCCCTATGCAGAAGTACAAAATGGGAGAAAACCGTGACTTAATGTCCATATCGCCCAGCCCTAAAACAACATGAGAACCCCTGTGTCTAAAACAGCTTTCCAGGAGCCGCTACAGTAGCAGCAGGACTCATCACTCCTGACCAAATGTCTCCAGTGACGCAGGGAGCAGCCAAATCACTTTCTCACCTCTCTCCTCTCGTTGTGCTGTTATTTTAGCTCCGTGTGAAGGCCCCTGGTGGACGTCAGACGTGAAGGGACGTCCTCTGCTCCGTCCTCTGTCCTCGCACTGCCATGTTGTCACTCCAGTTATCTGCAGGAAAGAATGCGTCGTGCACTAATGAGGTGAGGTGCCGCTTTTATCAGATGTAAAAGTGAAATTAACCCACAGGATGTGAGGAAAGTGAGTTGTAGAACGGGCTGCAGACAAGTTAGAACCCACTGAGTATGTTTACAAAGCACTATAGTGAAAACCCGTATAACGTGCCTATATTCTGTGACCCGTGTAAAGTCAGGGCGTGCTGCTGCTGTTGAGTTGAAACCACATAGACTGAATACTACTGAGACAAAGCCAGCAGATGCATGCAGGAGCACAGGGGGACGCTATATGCTCTCTACAACACTCTACAGTTCTAGTATGTCCAGAACGCTGCAGCTCGAGCTCTGAGTCAAACCCAGAAGTGCATTCACATTAGTCCAGTTCTCAGGTCTCTGCTCAAAGAAATCAAGATATTCCATGATTACTTTAGTATTTTCAGAAACACATTTCGAGTGATGTCGACTGGGATCAGCTTGGTCAGACCAGTTTGGGAGCAACACAAAGTAGAATCAGTTTTGTTGTTGTGTATTTTGAATTAGTAGAGTCCATTAAAGCAGATTTCAGCATATATATTCAAATAGACTGATTTATATTCTCAAAATTAGAGTGCCAATTGTAAACTTTTCTTTTCCTTTATTTTCTACTACTAACTACTTCTCAATTTTCTCTTAAAAGACCCCAAACCAGGACCGTCTCCAGCCCACTGAACGGTGCACCCTGTAATGGTCCTTTTACGACGGGGATCAAATTGAGAGCTTTTAAATGCACAGAATAGAAACATATTAGAAATGTAATTGTATATTGACTGTCATTCTTGTCGTCCGCTGTGTTTGAAGCATTTATTTGCGCTACTAAGAGGAAATAACTCGTGCCGTGTAGTTCTTTGCTTATCTGAACTTGTTGAAAGAGTAATGAGAATATATTGATTATAAGTTAGATTTCAGTTTTTACTGCAGCCACATATTTTAGCGTGCAAAAGGATCAGTCCATGTCAATGTAATGAGTGATTTGGGATACAGAAAGAATCAACCACTCTCGGCTATAAGAAAACCCTTGCTCCCCGTTCATACAATTTGAGAATCTGTGCTCCTGAATGTCTGGCCCACATCTTCCCCATGATATTTTTAACTTTTCTTAAATAGCCTGTGAGCTCAGCCCTGTTCGATTTGCCCCTGGGGGAGTTTGGAGTGTCTCGCGGCCCCTCCTATGTAAGGCAATATGACTCAAGCTGCCTCTGTGGACACCGATACTCTGCTGAATCATACTATAAAAGTGCTCTTCCACATCTCTCCCCTGTTGCTGGCTGCACCCTGTCACCCCTGGCACCCTCTCCTCTCCAGGGACGGCTCTGAGCTCCTGGAGATGTGGTGCTCTCACTGCCAACTGGGGCTAAGGCTGCCTTCACTCCAAAAATAGCCCCGCATTATAAAATCAATGTAGATGTGCTTTCAGTTCACTGGGGTGAGCTGCAGCTGCACCAAACTGTCTGCAGTCAGACAGGGACTGGTTACTTTCTTCATTATTTGACTAATTAAACTTTATGTATTTATATTTTATTAAATAGAGCCTCAAGGGGGTGTGGTTTGGAGAAGACTGGATGGTGGATGAGACCAAGTTGGAGTTGAAAGAAGGCTGAAATTCAACAAAATTTTATTTTATTTAGCCCTAAATCGGAGCAGGCCCTCTCAGAGTGCTTTCCAAAGTTGTTGATTCACCAACAGCAGATTAGAGAATCAAACAGTTTGAACACAGCAAATGCAATAAAAACCAACACATGGGAGCCTGTTGTCCACGGGGAGCAGGATGACCAACGTCCATATGTGCATACAAGTAATTGAGTATGAAATGTATTCTTTTGATTGAATAATGTTGCTGTCTTTGTCAAACAGGAAACACATCAACAGACCAATATGACTCAGGATGATTCCTGTTATTGTACTGTCATAGAAAGTTCTTTCTAAGGTCAGCTGCCTTTGTTTGTGACCTGTGCATGTAAAACGAATGCTTATCTCTGGGGGATCATGAATGCTTCTCCAGACCTGGAGAGTGACTTTGTGTTTGAGGACAGTTGTGAAAACAGGACGGTGACACCTCATCTCTGCAGCCTCAGTGTCACAGAGCCCAGCAGGGCCAACCTGCTCTGATTAATGGAGCTGTCTGCTGCCTGTAGTTCAGCCTGTGCTCCCCTCTGAGCACACGTTACTCACTCACAACAGATGGCCCTCCCGGGGCCCCTGGCTCTGTCACACCTCTGCGCCTGTGCTCTTATCTCCTCATATGGAGCAGGTACTTCACCCACAGGTGACCCTCAGACTGGTCTCTCTCTGCTCTGCAGACTGCAGCACGCTTTCATTGGAGGAGAAATGGACTACGCTCAGTTGCTTAACTTTACACTGAATCCGTCTCGGTCCCAAACCTGCTGCACTCGTGTGCCTAGAATCTATTGATCTGCACAGCATGCTCCAGAGGTTTTAAGAGGCGTCGTAACTTTGCCCTTGTAGTAAAACTGTGGCGCTGTAATGGATACTGAAACAGCGATCACACACATTGCACCCTTTTGGCAAAAAGATAACATCTCATTTACTTCCTTTAGTTCTGTGTCGTAACTGCACTCTCATAAGTGCTTTGCTTTCCGCAGTGTTTACAGTATTCCATTATAGTTATCTAAATCTGTTGTTTTAGCACGCTTTCATTCTGCACAATGAGGGTTTACTGTGAAAGTGTAAAAGTATGATGCTGCTTTAGTCAGACTCTTATTGAAAATCTGCTCTCAACAATTTACCAAAGCAGACAAATGTGGCGCTCACCATGCTTCACCACACTTCGCTTCACCACACTTACGTAGCTTCACACAGCAGATGCCAGATTTTACCAACAATCTACAATCTACATTAGCGCCACTAAAGAGCGTTTTCATAACTAAGAGAGTTTGTTTGGGACTTGATATTTGTGGCTTGTTTTTGTTGTTCGGCGGCTGTTGTTGGCTCCATTATCAGGCAGCTGCAGCGGCCGGTTCTGTTCTGTTCAGTTGCTGCTGATCCACCACAGATTACACACAACAGTGGATCTTATCACAAAGACCTGAATGACTTGGACGTGTATTGTTGTTTTTGTCAGTTGGGTCAGTTGACGATTCCGGTTTGTCTTCAGTATCTGTTTTCCTGAATTTATGGCAGCTCTTAATAGTGTCCAACTCCAGTTTGAACTTTATCGTTATCCTCCGTTTGCCTAAAGATAGAGCTGTAATGGGTCATTGATTAGTCGCCACATGACAAGTAATTTGTTTCCAATGACTATTTTAGTAATCCATGAATCGTTAACTGCTCTATTCACAGACTCCGACTCATGTACGGGATTTTAAGAGTAGTAATTACAATTTAATAATACATAACAATAGAACAATAAGGGTAGGCAAGCGCTAACCACTCAGCCACCGGGCAGTTAATTAAACGCTTCTTGCCCGGTTAATTAATTTCTACTTCATACACTACTATATTATCAGTGTACTACATAGTCATCCTTTTATTTGAAGCTGTTTTTAAACATTTTCGTCCTCCTTCTTTCCACCACTTCACTGGAGGGGCACATACTGGTTGCCTCGCTTCTGTCAGTGTGCCCCAGGGCAGCTGTGGCTTCAATACTAGTTTACCACCACAGTGTATGGAGTGAATAATGACATGTGAAGCGGCTTTGAGCGTCTGAGTTTTGTATCGTGAATCCCTTGCGCAATCCTCGGGTCAAAATTACCCGCCACAGTGATTCAAAGATACCCTAAATAAAACATGTTTGAGCTGAATTTTGATGATAGTTCCTACCTTGACCGGGTCTGAGTCATTTTAATCAAGGCAAGGCAAGTTTGTTATTTATTTTTGTATAGCACAATTCATACACAAGGCAACTCAAAGTGCTGAACAAAACAAGATGGCATTAAAATCTGAGATACAGTACATTAAAAAAAGAAAAATATATAAAATCCCCCAGTTGTATGCGCAGCTAAACAGAACCCAGAATTTAGACCCTTTCAGACCCTAATTTAGGTATTTTTCTTCAACTTTTTATTATCTGTGGTGGGTAATTTTGACCTGAGGGTAGCTCAAGTGTTAAATATCAAGGGCCACATTGATAAAAGCCATAACAAAACACTTATCCTACAATGGCTGTTCATATTCCGGTCAGTTTGATATTACTCAACAATTACTCTGCTCAAAACCCTTTTCAAAAATGAGTAACTCTTTTGTCATAGTTGTGCACGTGGAAAGAACGAGAGTGAGTAACTAGCTCCTCATTTCTTTCCCGTTAAATATGAAAAGTCTCTGTCACCCTGCTTCATCCTCATCCTCCTCCTCATCCTCATCCAGGGCACGCTCCACCGACGCCGTGTCCAAAGCGTTTCCGACGGAGGCTGCTGATGATGACACGCCTCCAGGACTCGCTAATAACTTCCTGATTGTTTTCCACGCGCGCCGATTGTGTGAATGAGCCCCGCGCCGGCCAAAACAGATGCTCAGTTTAAGGATATTAAGCTTACAATGTAAACAGATGGAGGATTAAAGACTACACCGGGCACGGCTTTACCCGCTGCTCACTCACAAAGGAAATACTCATTTTCATTTCATTAGATTTACTTTTTGTGTGTGGCATAATAACAGCATTTTGATATGTGACTATTACACTGTTAATCTGATATAAAACATTGTCATTCATAAATAGTGTTAGTTAACCCTTTGGTGGATCACCTTTTGAGTCAATATATCTAGTTTAACGGTCTATAGGAGGATATTCCCAAATTTTTTAAAAAGAACCGCCCTTAACACTTTTTGAACAAAACTCTCCGGTCTCCAGAATGATTGACAACTGGAAGGACCAATAGTCTTGATGATCCACCCGGAAGTAGAAAATCCTCCTATATACTGCACCTTTAAGCTTACTTGGAACTAAAATATACCTCTTTGGGGCATCTCACTTGGTTTTAGGTGCTTTTACCTTCGAACTACATCTCAACCATTTGGTAAAGGCCTATAATAAA